TCTAAATAATAGTGGTGAATCTTATTGAAACAATAAATCTAATCAAAGCAGATAGAGTGTTAACTAGAATTCATCTGCCTCACAGGGACGGGGAGGGGTGGGGGGTGGGGTTTTATTGGGGTTCTTCAGGGTAAAAAATAAGTATTGGTAAAGGGAAATGTGTTTGATATTTGCATGACTGAGACATAAACCTGAAAGCTTTGTAACCTTTCCCACAGTGATTCAATAAATAAATTTAAAAAAAAAAAACAAACCTTCAATCCCATCAAAAAATGGGGAGAAGAAATGAACAGAAGCTTCCTCAAAAAAGAAATACAAAGGCAAGTGAAAAAATGCTCCACATCACTAGACGTCAGTTAGATGCAAATCAAAACAACAATGAGATATAATCTCACACCACAGAGACGGGCACACATTCAAAAGAACAAAAGCAACCAGTGCTCGCATGGATGTGGGGGGAAAGGAACACTGTTTCACTGTTGGTGGAATACCAACTAGCCCAGCCTTTCTGGAAAACAATACGGACAGTCCTTCAAAAACTAGAAATTGATCTTCCATAAGACCCCACAATACCATTTCTGGGAATATATCCCCGAGGATGCAAAAAAGCACAGTAGAAATGGCATCTGTACCTATATGTTCATTGCAGCACTGTTCACAATAGCCAAAATCTGGAAATAACGCAAGTGCCCTAGAACAAATGACTGGTTAAAGAAACTTTGGTACATCTACACAGTGGAATAATATGCAGCTGTCAGGAGAGATGAAGTCATGAACTTTGCTTACAAATGGATAGACATGGAGAGTATCATGCTAAATGAAATGAGTCAGAAAGAGAGGGACAGACATAGAAGGACTGCATTCATTTGTGGAGTATAAAACAACATAACATGAGGCTGAAACTTAAGGATAGTAGATACACGGGACAGGAAGATTGCTCCATAGCTGGAAGCCTGCCTCATGAGCAAAGGGGAGAAGGCAACTGGAATAGAGAATGGCTTGAGGAACCGGTTGGGATGGGAGATGTGTGCAGAAAGTAAATAAAAGACCAAACATGATAACCTCTCAGTGTCTGTATTGCAAACCATAATGCCCAAAAGTAGAGAGAGAGTATGGGGAATATTGTCTGCCATGGCGGCAAGGGGAGGGTGAGAAAGGGGGAGCATAACGGGGATATTGGTGGTAGGGAATGTGCATTGGTGGTGGGATGGGTGTTTGATCATTGATCAAACATGAACGCTTGTAACTATCTCACGGTGATTCAATAAAATTTTTTTTAAAAATTAAACAAAAAAAAGAATTTCAGTACTCTTTGGAGTTCATGCCCACTTCAATCAGCCTAATCAATGGCTGAATAAATAGCAATACTCCTACTTTGTAGCACTGTCCTCCCGTTGTCTATCGATTTGCTCAAGTGCACCCAGTAACATCTCCATTGTGAGACTTCTTGTTACTGTGTTTGGCATATCAAATATGTCACAGGGAGCTTGCCAGGCTTTGCTGTGCGGGCGAGATACTCTCAGTAGCTTGCCGGGCTCTCTGAGAGGGGCAGAGAAATTGAACTCGGGTCAGCCAGGTTGGTCGCGTGCAAGGCAAACGCCCTACCCACTGTGCTATTGTTCCAGCCCATTATAAAATAAAATCTATATTTATTCTCTGATGATTATTTATGTCTTAGAGAGCAATTAGATTTCTAAAACTCCATGTTAAAAGGAGCAATGCATTCCTATAATGGCCAGAAGTTTATTTTCATCATTGTCTTCCATGGGTTTTTAGAACCTCTGGTTTTATGGTGGGAAGCCACAAAAGTTGAAACATAGTGGAGAATTAAACTGATCCCCTCAAAGTTAAAAATGCACCACAAAAGACTGAATTTGCTCACCAAGCCTAGAATAAATAATTTGTAGGTTCCCCCTGCTTTTAATTAATACACATAAAATATCAAAACTCTTCTTATAGAAGAAATTATTTTCTTCTTGCAAACTTTATGGTTTGCAAATAACATAAAACAGGATTATAACATTTGCTCTGAAAGACATGTAACATTCCTCCATTGTCATATCAACCTTTGTAGAGCGCTTCTCTTACACTAGGTAAAATGACAGCACTACTGATTTCACAGGGTTTTCAAGAGCAGAAGAAAGCATGTAAGTGGCCAGTCAAAACACAATGGGAACTAGAGAGGCCTAGGCATACTCTAATCCCTGTAGAAGAAAGATTAGGTCTGCATTCTATGTGCAAGATCTATAGTTCCAATTGTATTGATTCTTAGTTGGGAAATCTTTTAAAAGGCATTACACATTCATATATCACAAGTGAGATGTGGAAATAACATTGGAAGACTTTGTCAAATCTTCCTGCTTCTAGTCCCAGAAAGGAGTAACTTTATCTCCACATGCCTCCCTTCTCCACATGCCTCCCTTCATCTAAAAGCCTGACTTTGCCCTGCTCTTAGGACCAGGAGAACCTTATTGGCTTTTCTGGGTTCAAAATGTATTTCCAGCTAGAGGACCCTCTGCTTTCCTTTCACTACCTTGTCACACAGCATATAGTAGGTGTTCAACAAAAGGATAATGAGAGTTAATCTAGGCCTACCATATCTATACCAGTATGAGCAAGAATAGACAAGATGATATTTGAGGTAATTTGCAAATTTAAATATTCAGAATTTTGGTGAAATTCAAAATTGTGCATATGGAAATGAAAATTAGGGAGACAAATTGTGATATGGAAGACAGGTCACATGAAGGCAAAACCTAGCCTTAGAATTTCCTTCTCTCATCAGTTTAGTCTCTCATCTCTATCTCTGTCTCTGCCTTTGTATCTGCTTCTCTCTGTCTCTCTGTCTCTGTCTTTCTGTCTCTCTGTCTGTTTCTCTCTCTGTCTCTCTCTCACACATACACACACACATCCTACACACACACCCTCTCTCTCTTTACTTAGTTCTCCAAGGAAAGCTGATCAGAACTATCTCCACCAAGTTGATTTACAGCAAAATTTTCATGAAAGGCTTCAGAAATCTAAAGTTATGCATAAGGCCTCAATACCTATGCATCTCTAGTAAGCTCTGTATTCTCTACATGTTTCAGCTTCCCACTCTCAGCATATAACCATGAGGTGCCCAGCACAAGCAACCATCTCTTACTGTTCAGAGAGCAAGGCCCGGTGGCTCTGCTCCCCAGTAAGCAGAAATCACTTACGAGATGTGGAGCAAGCCAAGCTAAAAGTCAACCCAGGAGAATGCGTGTCTTTGAACCAAATCATCTCCAAATGCCTTGGGAAGCACCAGCAGGCTTGTTTGTGCTGTAGCTAAAGAGAGACTTTTCACAAAAGTGCTGCTTTGCAAAGAACAACAAACGCTGCTATTTTAAACTTGGGGGTGGGAGATTGTATCTGAGCGTTTAGACAAGCAGTGCTGGCTGATTGACATCTAACCCGGGGATTGCAGGCTGCAGCTTCCAAGGAAAGCAGAGGTACTTGCTTCTGAGCACTCTTGAAGTCTAGTAAAGAGTAGTGCTCCAGCAGAAATCTGAAAGTGCAACGTCGACAGAAAATCTTGAGTGGATATCCTCAAGAGGGCCTGCTCCGAGGTTTGCCACCCAAGTTGTCTTGGGGCCTAAAAGGCGGGTCAGAAAGCCAAGGAAGCTTCCCAAGAAGCAGTCAGCAGACACAGCAATGAACAGATGCTCATGCGGCACTGAGGGTGTGTGTAGAGCACACACTATGCCAACAACTGCTCTAGGCAGCAGTGAGGCTTGATTTGGAGTCAGGTGATGTGAGTTCAAAACACACCACTAGGCTCGCTCCAAACCCCTCTGCCTTTGGACTTCCTCGTCCACCCACCAGGGACTGAAGACTGATTGCTGTACCCCACAGGTGCCCCCCAAATCTTGGCACAATGATCATCTCCCATAGAGAGAGACAGCCAACTGTGTGGGGCATTCGTCCTGCAGTGAATACTTTCTCCCACCGGCACCAAGATCTTCTCAGCCCCCAGAGTCTCTGAGGCTTCTAGGCCCAGGTAAAATAAAACAGCAGGGGCTGGAGAGACCATACAGGGGTTTCACACACGCCCGGCATGCAACCAACACTGGTTCCATTCCCGCCACCACACGGTCCCCTGAGCATCCCTGGGCACTGCCCTAGAGATATCCCAGGCACCAAATAACACTGCATCCTCCCCATCACAATGAATCACCAGCCCAGTTGGTCAAGAATTGCCCAGAGAGGCCCTCGGACTCCCTGAGCACTGCTGAAGAGCACCGCCATACAAAAACAGAGTCAACAGTCCTGGGGTTATTGGGTTTAAGAAAACGTTTTATCACAGTTACAAATTGTCCGACTACCCGGGCGCTCTCTAGATAGCATTATGGGTTTCAGGAAATTCAGAGAAAGCAGTGGGCAGCTCTAATCAGAAAAGACAGGGCAATAGGGCAAGGTGAAGGCCCTGAGGTAAATGCCCACACGCCCCCCCTCCCAAAAAAAAGGCAGTTTACTTTACAAACACAATCCTCAGACTTTCCAGGAAACCAAAATCTAGCCAAGCGCACTCAGCAGGGGAGCGGAATCACATTTCGCCTCCCAACCAGAAGTTTAAAATCACCTAGAAACACTGCAGTGATGGCCTCTGGCCATTTGGAAAATTTTTAAAATATATTTTCCCCCCTCTCAGTTCAGAGTCTGAAAAGCAGGGGACAGAAACCAGGAGGCATTCAAAGAGCAGACAAAAGGAGGTGCAGGGGGTCCCTGCTTCCTCTTGGGTCGCCCCTGCAGAGAACTCAGTGTCACAGCGACTGGAACTCACCCCTCCGTGAGAACTGAGGGACCATCACCTCCAACAACCTCAGGGGTGGGGACGTGGGTGGGGTGGGGATGGACATCACCAGGTCCGGAGCTCAAAGGCTCGGCGGAGTTCAGAGCTGGGGGAAGGGCAAGGGAGCCCCCCAACTTTTCTCCGGTGCTCGGCACCTCCACTTTGGAAGGAAATAAGAACCACTCACCTTGCCTCTTGTCGGGAAAGCGCACGGGGCGGGGCAGAGGCGACCCCCCATCGCCCAGGGTCCCCAAGGGCAGGAGCTGGGCCACCACCCAGAGCTTTGCAAGCCAGCTCCTCTGGGCACATGGCATGATTCAGTTGTTGGGGCGGAGAAGAGTAAAGAAGTTTCAGCTCTCAGCCCCGGCGATCAAGTCCTCGCCTGTGGCCGAGCAGAAAGACTCGGGGGGGACATGGTCCAGGAGCGGGGCCAAGCGGCTGCCCGGCGGCTGGGATCTCCCTTGGCTTTTGTAAGCAGGAAGGGACCTCTCCTGCCCCTCCTGAGTACCGAGAGGGGAGTGATCCCGCGGAACCGGGATGCGGACCGGGTCAGGGCCGGGAGGGCGCAGCCCGCCCTCTCTCCCCAGCGCGGTGCCTGCAGCCCGTCTGGCGGCCAGCTCGGCGCATCTTCCTCCGGGACTCCCACCCCCGCTTCTCCTCCGCCCCGCCCCGAGCGTGGCCAAATAGGGGAGACCTGGGTGAGCCACCCGGGCGGGACTCGGAGAGGGGCGGGAGGGGGGTGGGAGGAGGGAGGGAGGGAGACTGAGTCGCCCCTTGCAGGCTGAGAAGGTTGAGCACAAAGATGGGGGGAGGAGACTCCCCCCACTGTAGCGAACTGCTGCCCCTAGCCTGCCTTTCTCCTCCCACTTCCCCAACTTTTCCCAACTTTACAATCCTTACCCAATCAGGCTTCTCGGAGAGTTTCCAGTGGGACTCCGACTAGGGTTTCCATTCGTAAAAGCAAATAGACAGTATTGCTCCCCGCCAACTCACACAGGGGATGGGGGTCGGAGGGAAAGGCCGGCTAGGCACTGAGTGCAAACACGTGATCAGATCAACCGCCCTGAGCCCCTGCACCTCCGCTGAAGCCCACCTTTCTTCTTCTCCTCCTCCTCCTCCTCCTCCTCCTCCTCCTCCTCCCTCCTCCTCCTCCCTCCTCCTCCTCCTCCCCCTCCTCCTCCTCTTCCTCTCCCTCCTCCCCCTCCTCCTCCTCTTCCTCTCCCTCCTCCCCCTCCTCCTCCCTCCTCCTCGTCTTCCCCTAACCCCAAAGTAAGTCAGGCCAATGGAAGCGTCCAGGTGTTTGTCCACTTGGTCTGCACAGCTTACCTGAACATTCACGGGCCTTATACCAACACGGGGGGTGTGGGGGGGGGGGGCGGCTTCCAGGCATCCAGAGAATTCAAGCGTAATCCAGTCAAAGGCTTGCCCCTCTTGGTAGAAACAGGCTTCCTTACTCCACCCAGGAGGAATTTGGCCCCTTTACCAACTCCCCAAGGCTTTCAGCCAAATGCATGTATTCAGCAAGAGATTTGGAATACCAATTTACCCGACCTTGCCCGGGCAAGCCAGCCAAGTCAGAGCACTGACCAAATGCAAGGTGGACTCCACAGGTACACGCACACCAGCCCGTTTCAAGGGGTATATATTAGTTTCCTGTTGTTTCGGTCACCTGCCACCATAAACTGGGTGACTGAAATGCATGTGTCCTCTCTTACAGCCCTGGAGTTCAGAAGTCTGAGGTGGGTTATATGGAGCTAAAGCTGAAATGTTAGCACAGCTGCATTCCTTTCCAGGGCCGTGGGCAGTAGCCCTCTCCACAGCTTCCAGAGACTGTCCAGGTTCTTTGGCTCATGCTTCTGCACCCATTTTCAAGGCCAGCTGTAGCCAGCTGAGTCTTTAATACCACATCATCCTGTCACTCTCTTTCCTTCTTTTCTACTTATGCGGACTCTTGTCATTAGTTTGGGTTCACCCAGGTAAAATCTATTTTATAGTCGCCCAGTTAGCATGTTGAATGCCATCTGCACCTTTATCTCCCATGACATGTTCTATGATGTCTGCAGGGCCAGGCATAGAACTCCTCTGGGACTCTTTCTGTTAACAGAAATATTCGGGGATGATCATGATTTGTGTACAGGATCTCTCTCTCTCTCTCTCTCTCTCTCTCTATATATATATATATATATATATATATATATATATATATAGAATCACCATGAGATAGTTACAAGCTTTCATGTTTCGGTTACAATCACACAATGATCAAACTCCCATCCCTCCACCAGTGCACATTCCCCATCACCAATATTCCCGCTATACTCTCCCTTTCCCACCCTCCCCCTGCCTCCATGGCAGACATGATTCCCCATAATCTCTCTCTACTTTTGGGCATTATGATTTGCAATGCAGACACTGAGAGGTTATCATGTTTGGTCCTTTATCCACTTTCTGCACACATCTCCCATCGCAACCAATTCCTTCAGCCATCTTTTTCTTAGCGATCCCTTCTCTATTCCAGCTGCCTTCTCCTCTTTGCTCATGAGGCAGGCTTCCAGCTATGGAGCAATCTATCTGTCCTGTGTATCTACTATCCTTAGGTGTCAGCCTCATGTTATGTTGTTTTATACTCCACAAATGAATGCAGTCCTTCTATGTCCCTCTCTTTCTGACTCATTTCACTTAGCATGATACTCTCTGTGTCTATTCAGACATTAGGTTCTCTCCTGAAGATGAGAGATCACTGCTGGTGTGCCTGCCCCAGGAGAGCACAGAAACCCGAGCACTCTGAGGCCCACTGAGGCCCAGGATATCAGAAGGATCACTGAATACTCTGGCCACACAGATTTATTGTTGCTGTCATTATTTTCCTTGTGCTTTAGATGGGGAAAAAATGATGATGACTTATTTGTCCGGGAGCACATTCCTACAAAGTGGGAAACCAAGAAAAAGCAGTGAAGTTCAGAGAAGTAAAGAGTCTTAGTTAAGTCACTAAGCAGATTCAAATATAGGTTTTTCTTATTTAAGGCCCTTTATAATGTCATCACCCGAAAAGATTGGATGGAAAAGAATGCTTACATATAGATAGCACCACAGTGTCATGGGTAGTGGTTGAATACATCCTGGAAAACTCTTTTCCATGTAAAATAACAAAGTGTGACAAAAGACCAAAGATACTTCAAAAAGAGCTCCTTCTGTTTCTTGAGCAAATAAGGTGTTACCAACTTTCACACTTTTCTACTAAGCCCTAAACAGACCTAAAGCATAAGGTATAGCTAAATTTCAAATGAAATTAATGCATTTTTCAGAGTTGTCCTTAACAATGGAAAGACAAAATGATAGCATACCAATACTCCCATCCTCCCGAAAGAAGACCCATCCTCAATAGTCCTAAGATCACAAATAAAACCTGCTCTCAAAAATGATTTCACATTTGTGAATCTTATCTGAATGTCACAGCCACCACATCATAAAATTATTGCATTACACTTGGGAGCTTGCAAAATCAGAGGACAGAGGGGAGAAAAGTCTTTGTCAACGGATTTCTAGAGCTATTAGACAAGAACTCCACCTGGGAATCAGAAACATTGTCTTCAAAAGTTTTATGGTTAGGACCAGAAAGATAGAGGAGCGAGTTGGGCACTTATCTTGCATATGGGTGACTCAGGTACCATCCCTGACACCATGTAGATTCGCCTGAACCTGCCAGGAGTGATCTGAGTTCAGAGCCAAGAGTTCAGAGCACCATGGGGTGTGCCCCCCATCCATCCATTGGGTTTATTGCCCAATCTGCCTATTGTCTGTCATCTACAAGCTATTCACTCGAGTCATCCTGAATAGGATTGGCAGAACACTAGATGAAGGACAACCATGCGGGCAAGCCGGGTTCCGCAAAGGATTCAGCACCATTGACCATATCCACACGATAACCACGCTTTTTGAAATAGCGGTAGTGTGAAGAAGGATAAGGGAGGTAACTGATGGGATAACTGGAAACTCTCTATTTCTATACAGGTATATTGATCAAGGAAACACAGCAAGTTTCTCCCTACCACTGATGAAAAGCAACCAAATTAAAGAGAAAAAATAAAATGAACTTTGAGGTGTTAAATTAGAATCAAAGGTATCAGTATAAAACCAGAGTTGCTGAAATATAGAGATGTATACAGAAATAAAAACATGATTTTTGATAAGTAACATATATGTGGATATACAATCTCTAAGTCCATCTTACTGAAGAAGTTGGAACAATACTCCCCCCTAAGTAATAAGCATACCTGACATTCAGATCTTGGATTCCCAATGCCATTATATTTGCAGAAAGAACAAGTCCTCCTTAGAGAAATAACTGATTCCAGAACTAGTGTTTTGAAAATAGATGCCTCTAAAACATTTTAATGCTCAAGTTAAAAATGCTTGAACAAAGAATTCAAAGACAGTTGAGAGCATATCAAAGGATACAGAAATGAGTATAAAAGGCCTGCCACTGGCCAAATTTAATCAAAAATACACAATAATAGAAATTAATTATTAGTCACACAATAAAATTTCCCTATTCAGGGCATATGGGTGTGGCTTGGAGTGCCTGCTTTATAGGCATCCGGCCACAAATTCAACCCCCAGCACCACCCTACTTGCCAAGTACAACCCCAAGGAACACTACGATCATGTATGTGATACCCAGTCATCGCAACAACAGCAACACATGCAAGGGAAAGAGGTTTAAAAAATAGTTCATCAATTCATACTGTGCTCCACCCCTTGGAAACAATGCATACCTTATTATAGTTAAGGTAATATGTTTACAAAAAGTGACAACAATTATGGCCTGGTGTATACAATTATTTCATCTCACTTTTAAGTGAATAAATAAAATTAGTTCCAGTAGCAATAAGGGTACCATAAGAATTACTACACATTCCTTTATCTAAGACAGCAATAAATTGTCCATATTTGAATTATATGATTTTATATTAACATATATGTGATTTTTGACAAGTGTATGTATAGGTGAAATCAGAAATTTTCTCCTTTTCCTTTGCAATCCATTTGTTCCAACTTACATCAGTTTCAATCAGATGATCACTGTCCTGCTGTCTGTACCAGATCAGTTTGTATTTCCAGACGCTTACATAACTGGAGTCATGTGGGATATATCCATTCTGTCATCTATTACTCAGTATTACAATTTGAGATTTAAGGATGCCTTGTGTATTAATATTCAACTCCTTTTCATTCCTTCATAGTACTCTACTGTATGGATCTATCACAATAGATTTTTCATTCAGATTTTTCATTCTTTACCTACAGATCTGTT